CCGACGTGGCGGCCGCTGCCCCCCTCAGCCCCCTCACCGAGGGGCTCGAGAACCCACGCCGGCTGCGCGCGCAGGAGCTGCCTCCGCCTCCTCCGGGAGCAGCCAATCAGCGCCCGTCGTGCGCCGAGGGAGCGGGGACTAGCCGAGATTGACAGGGCGGGAAGGCAATGGGAGCCGCAGGAGGATGGGGAAAGCGGGACAGCGGCGAGAGAGGGGCGGGAAGGAGCCTCCGGCACGTGAGCGGCGCGGGGGCGGGGCTGGAACGGGCCAATCAGCTCACTCAGTGGGTGGATGCCAATAGGAGAGCGCGGACTGACAAGACATGGATCCAATCCGCTTCTTCCAAGCGCTCCGCTCCCCCAGGCTGGGAGGGCGAATGTTGTCTTGAAGCCAAAAGGGCGGGCAGGCGCTGGACCAACCAGCGGTCGAATCACCGCGGGGAAGGCGGTGACCCTTAAGACGGACGTTGCGCTCAGCCAATCGACATCCAAACTCCTCGGGGAGGCGGGGCAGAGGCTCTGATCGACAGCTCAGCGAACCAATCACCTTTGCAAGTACCTCAGCATCCCTAGAGCGGGTCCGGAGTCACTCCGGTTCGGCCGCGGTGGGTGGGGGGCCCCGGGGGAGGGAAAAAAAGGGCTCCGGCCCCGCGGGGTCTCCCCGGGGCAAAGGGGTCCCAGGGCAAGACTGGGATGGGGGAAGGTTGCAGAGCAGGTATCGATGGAGGCCCAGGGCTGGGCCTGGGTGTGGGCCTGGAGCGGGAGGTGGGTCTGGCCTTGGGCGGGTCCTGGATGTGGCCCTGGGCTTGGGCGCGGGTGCAGGCCCGGGGCAAGGCCTGGACGTCAGGGTGAGCCGAGGCCCAGCCCCGAGCATGGTTGTGCCGGGGCTGGGCTGTCAGCCTGGGGCTGGGCTGGGGCCTGAGCTCGGACCTGGCTCTGGGCGAGGACCTGCTCAAGGGCCGGTCTTGGGCCTGGGTTGAGGCCCAGGTTTAGGGCTGGTTGTGGGCAAGGGCCTAAGGCCAAAACGTGGCTCTAGGTTGTGGTGTGAGCCAGGCCTGGGCTCAAGTACCCGGCGTCACCCCGAAATCACCGCCCTCCCTCCGAGCTAGCCCTCAACCATGCCAGGACCAGCCTGGACAGCCCCGATTCGGCTCCCTCAGCCCCCCTGTCCTGCCCTGGCGACCCCATCCGACAGCCCCTGTCCCCTGGGCGCCCCAAGCCTCCTCTGCTTCCTACCACCTACCCATCTCACTCTGCCCCATGTTTTTGCCTCTCAGTCGGTTTAACGCTTGATTTTACCCCCAGAGGAGAAGCCTGAGAGTCTCCAAAGGGGCTTTGAGGTCCCCAGAGCCACGTGCAAGTGAGTAAAAACACCTTAAAAATACTCAACCTCGCCACTGGAGAGGATGATTTAAAGCCGGTGCTGGGTGAAAGTTGCTGGGGGGGGTTGTACAGGTGCTTGGGGGGCCCAGGGTGGCAGATTGGGGGCAAACTGGGGCTCCCCCCTCACTACCTGTGGGGGTAAGTATCTCCCGTCCCCTCCCAAAAGCACCCAAATTTTGGCCTGTTTAATGACCCACCGGTAGGATTGGGGGGAGCCCTGAAACTTGAGGGGGTGACTGGGCCCACCCTGACACAAGATGGGGTCTGTCTGAATCCCTTCCCCCCTTCCTAGTTTGGGGGTTGTTCCCACTCCTCAATTCCCAGTTTGGGTGCTTCTCCCCTCCCCCATTCCCAGTTTGGGGGGGTCCCCAATTCCCCATTCCCAGTTTGCGGGTTTATCTCCCTGCCCTATTGCCAGTTTGGGGGGGTGCACACATATCCCCTCCCCCATTCCCAGTTTGAGGGGGGTTTCCTCTCCTCCATTCCCAGTTTGGGAAGGGTTTCCCCCTCCCCTACTCCCAGTTTGGGGGGGCTGGGTCCCTGCTCACAATCCCTCCACCTTTCCCAGTTTGGGAGCCTCTCTCCCAGTTTGGGGTCTCCCTGCCCGTCCCCCATTCCCAGTCCATGGGGGGGGGGGGGGTTCTCCCCC